CTAACCTAACCTAACGTAACCCAACCTATTATTAAAGCGATGTGTCCCGATAACCCACAAGTACCCTTGAGACTTGCGGGGTGAGGAAGTGGGGTGAAGGAGGATGGCCGAAAGACAGTGTCAGCCTTTAACAGGTCGGACTTCCTGCATTCCTTGAAAGTCTCAAGATTACAGTCACGTACTGTATTTAGTTTATAGGAAAACCAGTTAAAAACACATTGCAAAATTACACTCATACATCCAGTTTTAAGTATCAAATGTCTTGCGCGTAAACCTCAGAATCGCCTTCGCGCATGCGCGCACACACGCAGAAAAGAACATAAACACAAAAAGAATCACAGAAAGACTGAGACATCGCGTATAAGCAATGACAGGAGAAACACAAATTACAAACGAAATCTTCTACACCATAATTTTCCATATCCTTACTAGATATAACACAAGTGCATTGCCTTACAGCCAATTGTTTCTCAGGAAACTTCAGTTCGTCACCCAGCTTAAGATTGGCTGCGACTTCCATGGCTTCTTGCACTGTAAGAAAAGGTTGAATCAGATCCTCTTGCATAATATAGCTGGACAACTTGTTGAAGAACTTCAGCTGCCTAGGATGGCCATTGGTCTTGACGGTGCCAGACACCCCAGCATACCTGGAAAAAAGCGCTTCATAATACCAATAAAATAATAATACAATTTAATATCTGACATTACTAAAATATTCTCTACGCAAATTCCATTAACTCTACAGTATTAAAAATAGACAAGACTGTATAATTACATACGTCACCAAAAACAAATTACGGTACTTGTAGGTTATCGGGACACATAGCTTTAAAAATAGGTTAGGTTATGTTATGTTAGATTAGGTTAGATTAGGTTGGGTTAGGTTATATTAGGTTGGGTTAATGTGTGGATAAATGACATATACTTGAAAGTTATATTTTATTTCAATAAATGACTACTAACCTAACCTAACCTAACCTAACCTAATCTAACATAACCTAACCCAACCTAATCTAACCTAATCTAACATAACATAACCTAACCTATTTTTAAAGCTATGTGTCCCGATAACCTACAAGTACCGTAATTTGTTTTTGGTGACGTATGTAATTATACAGTCTTGTCTATTTTTAATACTGTAGAGTTAATGGAATTTGCGTAGAGAATATTTTAGTAATGTCAGATATTAAATTGTATTATTATTTTATTGGTATTATGAAGCGCTTTTTTCCAGGTATGCTGGGGTGTCTGGCACCGTCAAGACCAATGGCCATCCTAGGCAGCTGAAGTTCTTCAACAAGTTGTCCAGCTATATTATGCAAGAGGATCTGATTCAACCTTTTCTTACAGTGCAAGAAGCCATGGAAGTCGCAGCCAATCTTAAGCTGGGTGACGAACTGAAGTTTCCTGAGAAACAATTGGCTGTAAGGCAATGCACTTGTGTTATATCTAGTAAGGATATGGAAAATTATGGTGTAGAAGATTTCGTTTGTAATTTGTGTTTCTCCTGTCATTGCTTATACGCGTAACGTAACCTTTTTTTAAAGAGATGCGTCCCGATAACCCACTCACACTCTTCTTTTGCGAGGCATTACACATAAATACAATGGCGTTAAAACTAGTTCTGTAGCGAAACCAAAGGCTTTTCGTAAAGTAAATTATTGCCGGACAGCGTGGTTTTCTTTGGTTGCTTACGTCATACCATAGAAGCTTACCTCGTGCAGATGTGACCAACTGTAAAGTCGTTGTGTCACACGTGAAAAAGTATGCAGATAAAATTACACAGAAAAAGTTCTAATTTATAATTGGCCAAGAACAAACAAACCGAAAGATTGTCGACGTTCATGAATACCTTGTGATTTTTACACAACCTTCAGTTACTACTTCAACACGTTCAATTACTTTATTTCTTTTGTTACGACGATAACGCTAAGGATTCGTAGGACAGCCCCCAGATATGGAGGGTAGATATTGAGAAAAGGGGAATAATCACAAAGGGGTGGTCCTTTAGTTTGGGGGTTGGGAGGAAAATCCTGACTTTAAAAATTCTTTGGGACGACCTACGGAACGAGAAAAATGACACGAGATTTTGAAGTTGAAAAGTTACGAGTCATTATACGCCATGTTAACTGAAAATTAAAATAAACAGGTGTCGATGTGGAGATTTTTCATTTGGATCAGGACAGGAACGTGTGTTAGGGGCTTTTGTGAGCACGATAATTGATCAGTAATAATTCCGGTCTCTGAAGGTAGTTAATGTAAGTTTATTGTCCTCTGTAGGCCAATACGCTGTTGAGTAATAATCTGTTATTGAGAATTATGAATTTCACAAATCAAAAAATGCTACGAGAGGACAGTGAAAAACATAAATTAGCCAACTGTTGATGTTATAGTTATATATATAAACATTAGGAATGGAATTTTATGTATCTAAAGTTATATTTGTCACAGAAATATTACACGTAATCTAAAACCCTTCCGAGCTCTTAACAGAAAGTCACGTGTCCGAAGCAAACTATTTGTAACAAGTTCCTAGAAAAACGCATTCAGCACATGACAAGACTAAACGTTGAAGGCTGAAATTATACATTAACCCGTACCTCAAAGAAAACATAAAAATTCATCATTACGAAGATCAACTCGTTACTGCTGATAGTGAAATAATCCCTGTTTATTCTTAGAATCACGAGGGACACATAAATACACTCCGCTGGTAAAGCGATGGGTTATTAAATGTTAAATCAGGTTTTAAAAACAGTTACCATTGTGATTTGAAGCTTTAAATTATTGTCACGAAGACCTGTTGACATGACTTGATAATTATTAGCCAGCCTGCTGTACAATCTTCTCACGACTTCGAGTCATTACAAACACCAGACACGACGTTTAATTTATGGTTTTTTTTGTTTTATAGGACTAATCGTGTTTGAGTCTGAAGATCAGTCACACGTGTGACCCTTGCATGTGCGCTTCAGTGTAACACTAACCTACGTAACCTCACAGTTTGTATGCCCTTTGATATTATACGAACAATGGACTGTTACATTTCAACTGCTTCTATCGAGTAGAAACAAAACAAAAACATAACGACGTCTGTACAACCTACTTTCGGCCGTCAATAAAACCGTTATGTCCTACTAAGAACTTGTAATGAAATACTAAAGTACGTTTTATGAGATGTTACGCCTTGTGTCTGGTACAGATTAATAGACGTTTCAGAGGTACTTACTGCCTTACGATAACCCTCATGATGGAGGCATAATCACATCTGAAATATCTGTCTATTTATATTTATTATTTTTATTTATCTAGTGTTCTGTCTGAGGACAGGTCCATATGAACAGGATCCTTCCATCCTTTTCTCGGACTGGGACCTGTTCATATACGTTCTTGGCAGATGATCCAGAAGTGGTTTGCCATTGCCTTCTTCTGTGTGTGAAGGGAGTAATTGTTGGGATGCCACGGAGAAACCGGGGAAGCCCCCGGAGGAAAACCCCGTGTTGCCTAGACCACGATCTTGCCCAACACAAGTTATAAATTCCGGCACCGCCGGGAATCGAACCCGAGACACCAGGATTACAAGGCCAGCGTTCTAACCGCTAGACCACCGTGGCTATCTAGATGTATATAGGAGAATAAAATTAAAATAGATATTAGAAAATATAATATGAAGGTGTGGGTTGGATAAATCTGGTTCGGGGTAGGGACTAGTGGTTGGCTCTTGTGAACACAGCAATGGTCAGAAATCACGAACCATTGTGTGATGTAACCTAACTGGTACTCACACGTATCCGGCAAGGATGTTCATGAGAGTTGATTTGCCAGCCCCGGATGGGCCAAGGATCGCTGTTAGTTCTCCAGCACGAAATTTACCGCTCACTGCCTTAAGGATTGTGCGCCGACCTAGAAAACATAAACGTTTACATTCACATGCGATCTCGAAATGTCATAAAGGAGCTTTGTGGAACGAACAACCCCCTCAAACATCCTGTATATTAACGTCAAACGCACTTCAGCTTGGTGATTTGTCGTCTGATACGCCTCGAGCTAAGAGCCTCGAGACGGCATACAAGACACACCAAGCGTCGCGACACCTGTCGTCCTCACAAGATTTATCTTATACAAAAGGGCCTATTTTCTTCACAGTGATAACCTAACGTTGTGTTAAACTAGTTACAAGTTCTGTTTTGTAACCGGGAAGTTATGGTTCTTATACTTTTCGTGTTTTTTTTTCTCCTAAGTCACAATCGATGCATGTAAAAACAGTGTTTCAAAAACAGGTCACAACATTTCTTTTGAAATTCAAGTTATTCTTAAAAAAATACAGCGTATTTATTCTGTCTTTCGTCTCGCCATTAAACCAGGTCTTCGCTATGAACTGGAAACAATAGAAAGCGGACATAAAGTTGCTTTGTGAACTGGGACACGTTTTGTTCACATTGAAATACTTCCTTGTGTCCTTCCACAGAGCCAGAAATGTTGCATGGTCAGCGAGTCATTCAACTGTGCAAGGAGAATGATGATTTGCATTTAGGTCGTTACCCTCGATTAGGACCAATAAGGTTCTAAACCTAACAGAAACATAAAACGGAATTGAGTGAAACTCTGAAGTTCTTTATAAAAGAAAAGTATTTCAGTCAGTTGCTTAACTGTAAAATAATTCCTACCAGCTCAAGGTTAACTTTCATCAAAGCAAGAACTACACACGATCTCGATTCTTAAATTTAATTAAATTTAAAAAAAAAGACAACTGAAGGAGCGTAGTTACTATGTGCCTGAGTAAGTTTCGCTCAAATAATTTAAGTAATTTTAAAACTTTTATTCCCGAATTTTATACAAAATTAACACAACATATTGCTAAAAGATTGTCATCTACAGAGTACACTGAACTTCAAAATATTTGTAAGTCACTCGAAAGTTTCAAAAAGATGTCTTTCTAGATAGACGTAAAAAAATAAACTGCTAATAATCCAAAAACAACATAAATATGCAGTCTTACGAAAAACCCCGGAAAATAATTTCTGTGTTACTCTGATACTTGGATTTCGTGATGTGCATAACTTCGCAAACATTGTAAAAATTACGGAAATTATCGTTGTTTACAATGAGAATCATTCAAAACCATAAAATATAAAATTCAAAGTCACGGTTAAACGAAGTGGTAAATATTTAACACTGGTCTTTAAAATATTAACAAAGATTTTAACAACTCGGACTATGCATATCAAAGGATATAATGGTTAATGTACAATAAATTGGAAGGGATCTGGAAGAAGCAGGTGTGGCCTAATTAACGTTATAAAACCAACCCAAACCTCCCAAGCCAATCTCTTAACATTGCCGTTCCATTTACTTCGAGATCTTCCAATTGATCTTTTCAGGCTTCCCAACCAAAATTCATCGTGCATTCTTGTGACGCTTTATGGTACACCAGTAACGTCGTTTTCTCTTAATTATGTTTTAGGCAAACAAATGGCCATGAGTTAAGCGCTTGTTAGATAATGCAACGACAGGAAATTTGCCAACTGAAAGGAAAGCTCATTTGTGGTGTATTGCAGAAGTCTAACACATGCAAATTTCACCACAAGTTAGGTTATGACATACGTTTTACAATTCGTAGATTTCAAAATCACGGCTCTGTTTTCATTTTATATTTATTCAAGCTAACAACTTACGCAGTTCAGGTACAACTACTTACCAGATCATTAACCCTTTAAAGACCAATGGTAGCTAATGAAACATCTGCTTTAACAATCTGCGTTTAGACTTTATAGGTTTCTCTAACGGCATTGACTAAGCGTTTTCGTACTACAAAGTAAGAACAAATTTTCTGCTGTTATTATTACATAACTAGAGGTTAGAAAAACATAAACGCCAAGGATTGTGACCATAATGTATTCCGTTAATCTCTGACTTCACGTTTAAAATTGCACCTTATTCATCTATGAAATTGGTGGGTAATTCGAAAATTATAATATTTAGAAACCATATATATATATATATATACAATGCCGGTTCTAGAGACGTATATAAAGAAATTTTAATTGCGATAGAAGTTCGCACACAGCTCCAATTAACGCTAAACGTGTAGAACGCAAATGTTCCAATATTACGATGTTTTAAAATAAATAACTTCTGTTAAATTCGTTAACACTTGGTGTGGTTTCAAGATTATTTCTCGATCATAACTGCTGCTCTAGATAAAATGAACTGTCATTTAATACACATCGAAACAGGGTTATATTTGTGTTCTGAATTTTTCTTTGTTTGTGTTCTGCGTCTGAAAATTGTTACGTCTTTTCATAATTTTTCTCAACCTTCCCATTTATCTCGTCGATTTTGTAAGATAACCCCGTAATTAAAAACAGCACAACTTTAATTTGCCATATTAGTAATCATTTTCATTTTGGAATTAATCCATTTATGCCAGGCATATCTTCCCAGCACTGAACAGATGTCTTCTCGTTAACCTACTCTACCACTGGTCCTTCGGCGTGACACTTTTAACCCTTTGAAGCCGAAGATCGTCTAAATATTATTTATGAATTCAGTCCGTACCGCGAAGAAAACACTACACCTCACCATTACGAAAATCAGCTGGTTAACCCTTTGAAGCCGAAGCTCGTCTTCATAATATTTACGAATCCAGACCGTACCGCGAAGAAAACACTTCACTTAACCATTAGAAGTCGAATCAGGCGGTACCACATAAGATTTAACCAAAGAACATCCCGGTCAAAGCCTTAACTTGGCTTCATCGCTTCAAGAAACGCAATTTATCTCCACAGAGAAAAGTAGTGCAGGGGTTCTCAACCCGTGACCCACCGACGTGTTTCGTAAGGCCCGCGGTTTTTTTTTTTTGTAAAATTATGCGGCACTGTGAGATGTAAAACATTTATCTTACATCAGAAAACACACTTTTTAACGTCGTCACTAAATGGAATGTTCAGCTTAGTGAAGAATGTCAGATGAATAATTTGGACGTGTCTTGCTGATGAACATTTGTAGTAATGCACGTGACCATAAACAAGAGTTATAATATTACCCATTTTCTCGCTTATGAGATAAATAATGTATCAGTCACACCAAAATTTGTTACACAATAATCAATTTCCCGTTAGTTTTAAAGAATGATTATTATTATTATTAAGTGTTCTGTCTTACGACAGGTCCATTGCTCTGCCCAAACAGAGCTCTCCAGTTGTCC